GCCAATTGGAGCCCACCGGACATCGAAGTAGCTCACACAGATCTTCCTATAGGTGTCAATCCACCAACAACGGAAGAAATCAGAATGGTCATCAGACAAATCAAGGGCGGGAAAGCAGCAGGATCCGATAATATAACAGCTGAAGCATTGAAGTCAGACATCAAAGTAATCACAAACATGCTTCATCTTCTATTCAGGAAGATTTGGGAGGAGGAACAAGTGCCGATGGACTGGGAAGAGGAATACATCATCAAGATTCCAAAGAAAGGAGATCTGAGCAAGTGTGAAAACTACAGAGGCATTACATTGCTGTCAATACCAGGAAAAGTCTTTAACAGAGTGCTGCTGAACAGGATGTAAAATGCAGTAGATGCCAAACTTCGAGATCAACAAGCTGGATTCCGTAAGGATCGGTCGTGCACAGATCAAAATGCGACACTACGGATCATCGCCGAACAATCAATTGAGTGGAACACGTCACTGTACATCAACTTCATTGATTATGAAAAGGCGTTTGACAGTGTAGATAGGAGAAGGTTATGGAAACTTCTTCGACACTACGGAGTTTCTGAGAAGATTGTCAACATCATCCGGAACTCATACGACGGACTACAGTGCAAAGTAGTGCATGGAGGACAGCTGACAGATGCATTTCAAGTAAGGACCGGAAAGAGACAAGGATGTCTACTCTCTCCCTTCCTGTTTCTTCTGGCGGTCGACTGGATTATGAAGACCTCGACACGTGAGGGAAAACAAGACATACAATGGACAGCTCAGAACCAATTAGACGACTTGGACTTCGCAGATGACCTAGCCCTCCCATCGCATACACACGAACAAATACAGATAAAGACAGCCAGTGTAGCAGCAGTCTCAGCATCAGTAGGCCTCAACATACACAAGGGAAACCAAGGTCCTTAAATACAACACGGAGAACACCAATCCAATCACACATGATGGTAAAACTCTGGAAGGTGTAGAATCCTTCACATACCTGGGAAGCATCATCATAAACAAGGAGGACTCATTGTAGACGTAAAGGTGAGGATTGGCAAAGCAACAGCAGAATTCCTACAACTGAAGAACATGGAACTCAAAACAACTTTCAACCAATATCAAAGTGTGAATCTTCAACACGAACGTCAAGGCAGTTTTAATGTACGGAGCTGAAATGTGGAGAACTACTACAACCACCATCAAGAAGGTACAGGTATTTATCAATAGCTGTTTACGCACGATACTCAACATCCATTGGCCGGATACCATCAGCAACAGCCTACTGTGGAAGAGAACAAACCAGCTTCCAGCTGAAGAGGAAATTAGCAAAAGACAATGGAAATGGATAGGACATACATTGAGGAAATCATCAATCTGCATCACGAGGCATATATATATATATATATATTATGTATCAAGATTTTGAAGTAGGATTTTTATAAAAAGGAGAGGAATATGAGAAGAGAATGAAAAACAAAAGCGATCCGAGTAACAACAGGAATAAGTGTATAATTGTGTTTGTAAGAGAGTATTCATGGAAGTTGTACAAATGATGTATTCAATGTATTGTTTTCTTATTGCATGAATGCCGTGTGATGTTGCTTAATAAATAATTTGATTTACTCGAACCAAGTCTTCGTTCACTAAAACATGCTCAAAAGATCTCTTCGAATTACATACTTCGTGTATTAGTTGGATTTCGTCATATATTGAGAACATTGACAGAACTGAAAAACCGAGATTTTTTGAGCAGATGTTTCACTAATACAAACCCAAGATCGCGTAGTCAGTCATAGCTATTCACTTATTTTAAAGCAGATATTAATAAGCGAAAAAAATATAACCATAAATTAAACAAAACTAACCAAGTGAATAATAAATTAAAGTTAGTACCGTCCATTATATAGAACTAGAATGAAATTTTCAATAATATTTATATATTATGAAGTAGAAAAACAGAATTTTCAAATAACCATAATTGAATTCAGAGACATTTATTAATAAAGTGCAGCTCATTTAAAAAAAGGTGATCAACCAATAAAATTTAAAAGGAAAATAGAGAAATTTTAAATTGGCTCACTATTTACAGTTTTGATATAATTTTGTTCCATGAGACCATATCATCCGACTATAAACTACACATGGCTATTTCTTAAAGAATTTTTTTGCTTTCCAATTGAAAAATAAATTAGTTTCTAATATTCACAAAATGAAAAAACGAATTGTTATTGAAAAAGTAGTTGTGTTCCATACTGTTGATGGCAGGTACAGTGAGTTGACGAATTCCAAATAGGACGAAACGCACGTCCTGAAATCCACTACTAGTCACCATTCCTTTTTACTTTTAATTATATTATATTGAAAATAATAATTTACAAGGTTAATCTGATCATATATGATGCTCAAGATATTGATATTGTTTTGTTAATTAACGTCAATATGACATTTTACTATTAAAATGAATAGTTGTTTTAGCGTAACAGAAAATATCTCGTTTTCTTTATAGTCTGTCATTGAGTAGTAATAAGGAAATGATTACAAAAAATACAGAAAATAAATTTAAATTCAATGAAAAAAGAATATGATGGTTATATATAATATTATCATGAGATTAAAGTTTAGCTGATATCAAAATGGGGTTTTGTGGATATTGTAATTTTTTAATAGTTGAATTCATGAGTCGATTAAAGCTAGATCACTATGTAAAGCGCTGGGCGACCATTTCGTCGTAGTATGGAGCTTCTAGGCAATGCGCATTCACGATCCTGCACATAGGACTCAAACCCAGAACCTTCGGTCTCGCGCATGAACACTTAACCTCTACATTATTGAGCCTGCATAAATGGTGTTAATGTTTAACTTCAATTAATTTATGATATTGCGCAACCGTCCATCGTTATCTTCAATGAGTAACTGTCTCTACAACAGACATGTTGAACTCCACTAGCCACAATTTCTCACTAGAACTTCAGGAAATACCTCTTGGAGCTAGTCACTAGTGAGCACATGTTGATTATTATCAGAATTGGGTTTTAAGGATATTGTAGTAATTTTTTAATAGTTGAATTCATGAGTCGATTACAGCTAGATCACCATGGAAAACCTAAAACCACAGTTGTAGAGGCAGTTACTCATGGAAGACAATGGTGGACTGTCATTCAACATCGTGGATTTGCTTAAAGTTAGACATCAATACCGCTGGATACCAGCTCGGTGTTCTAGAAATTAAGCGTTCATGCGCGAGTTAAAATTAACATTCGTCAACAATATGATTTTGTTTTACCTTTTGAGTAGATAAAAATTTGTACTTGTAAAATTTTGATTTTCATTTAGATTTGAGTCGATTGACGATTTTTATTTTAATGAAAAATATTTGTTTTTATTTATAATCAACACTAAAATAAACAAATAGGTGAATTCAAAAAGATTCTTCATATTTAAAGTTTTTGACAGTGTTTGTAGTTGTGAAAGAAGAATGAACTTTCTGTTTTCTTTTTGAGACTAAAAACAACAAACAAACAAACAAAAGTTTTAAAAGATGTAATAAAACTAAAAGGTATTACACTTTTAACAACTAAATGCTTGAATGACTTAGTAAAACAACATTAATTTAATGAGTTTCAAATATTCATACTTTTGACATTAACAAAAGTAGGATAAATCTTTTAATAATCAGTACAGAAGCATTAGAGTTATAAGATTTTAAATTGAGATCAGAACTGGAATTATAGTTCAATCTAGTGTACTACTTTCTGAACAGTTTTCTGAATTCACTTGATATTGTTTTACTTGAATCTTCCCATTGATTTTTAGGACTGCAATTGATCAGTCTCTTATTGGCATATGTGCATACTGTGCGTATTGCCTCGATATTGCCTCAATTTACAAGCATTATAAGCAAAGATGGATAGTGACTAGCAGTGGAATCCAGGACGCGCGTTTCGTTCTATTTTGGGACTCGTCAGCTGGATGTACCTGCGGACGGTACTGGGTTCGAGTCCCAGAGTGAATTGTTTTAGAAAGTAGAAATATCGGAACAAAAAACGTAACAATAAGAATAATCCATTCTTGTGCAAGTTACAGTAGCAAATTTGGCTCGATATGAAAACTATTCAATTTAAATATCGTGTAGTTAGTTAATAAACTGTAGCAAATATATTTGTTACTGATCAACTGTCGATATGATTTAATCAGCGTTAAAACATATGGGATAAGATTTTGTCTAACTACTCATCATCATCAATCACTTTCAAACTTTCTCGATCTTTAAATTTCCATGAACAAAATTTGGTGAATTTTCAACTACTGATAACCACTTTTTGTCACCCATGAATGAAATGAAATATCTTAAAGCATTTATAAAAATCTAAGTGATCACGAATGAACTGTATGTGTATGTTTATGACCCTTTTACAATCACTTTTTTATTATTGAACATAGAGATTTCAGCTGCGAAAGAATTACACTTGATGTAATATTAAAATTATACATTTCAGCGTAAAAATAGAGTTATTCGTAACGCCCGAGATATAAACACAGAAAAACTAGAAACTGTTTAATCTCTTACCTTGCCATAAGTATAACCTTATATAGGCTCCTTTTTTGCACATCACCTACCTATCTAGTTCACTCTTGAACTCAACTCGAATAGGTTTACTCTTGTTTCTATATCCACTTCGAATACATTCAGTTTTTAAAATTTAACTTACTATATTACTATTTATAATTACTACTCTCTTTCCAGTTTCTATGACATTTGTAATTCATTTTTGACTCAATCCCGAAATATAAGTAACACTGTTTTATATATTTATTCATTATTGTTGTTATGTTCAGTGAATTTATGATGACCAACGTGCTGAAGAAGAACTTTGTTGTGGTTCAATATACATTTACATTCTTATTATGTTAATAATAATGACGAAAATGAAGTGATTTTCTGCTAAACATCAGTTCAAAAAACAAAAACATTATTTCCTTCATTTTTCAATGTACCTGAATTCGACAAAATTTTATTATTGCAGGTGTTTTTGTCTTAGATATGAGTTGAAAAGCCTCACAAGTTTGTAGCAGTTAAATGTTTATTATTTTATTTTTTTTATTATTATAAGCTTCTTTAACATTATATTTTTGGTACAATATTGAATTCTCAGCATAAAGTATTGCAACAAGTTCCCTTTTCTTATATATTGATCGATCCTGACGATAAATATTGAGTGATGGCCAGTTGGATGTTAGGAGTTCGATAATCGACATATGAATAATGTTCATTCGTTTCAATGTATATTGCAAGCCATCATGATATCGCTGGTTGTACCTTTTTGTAATCCGTACAGCGAAAGGTTGTAAACTTTTCATAAACGCGCCTGAATAGGTTGTGAGCTCAATAGACATAATAATGTGTTAAAACAAACAAACAAAACAGATAACTTGACGAAATATCTAGATGGGAGGAACAGGTAGCTCAGATATTCAAGCAGTCCGCCGATATGTGAAGCTATTATTAAGCATCGAAGATTATTTGCAAATTATTCATAGACATATTGCTTCATGTTTTCGTGGTAGTTATTGACCGAAGAATGTATATACTGCTCATATGTAAGTTTTTAAATCTAGTCATTTCAGATTCAGATTTCTTCCATGAAAACGAGCCTAATGAAAATACTTTATCACTATTCGCATGTTACCCGTTTTTTTAATAGCAACATATCAGTCAGGCTTAATTACTTTATTTGAAAGATGAAAGTTATAAAATCATTCCATGACTAAAATATAATAATGATTTGAATTGTTTCTTTTTATAGCAAACTGTCATACACTTTCATACTGATTTAATATATGTACTTTTGATCGGTTGTATTCAGTTCCATTTATTAAATAGGCATCTTGTTCATAGTTTATGAAAGTTAAACACGTTAGTAGTTATCTGGACATAGTAATTTAGTGGATGATACTTTAGTGTTGAAAATTTTGGGTTACAATCACTTCATATGTTATATTTATTGGAAATATTTTGTAAACGACACTCAAATGTTTAGTTTCAAAAACAGTTGCTGTATCAATTATCTATTCCATACGGTGTTTTTATAATAAATAAACATGTATATATTAGTTATTTCCTCAAATAACTATCTTTAAGACACATATAACTAATGTGTAAAAACAATTGGCATAGTGAATGTAAGCTGTTTCTAATTTTTTTTTTCTTTCGGTCTAAAACCTAATGACAGAAAGATTTATTCTGTAATCGTCACGAAAGTTTGTTTTGTTTTTTTAAAAATCACTTATCAATCAGATAGAGCTTGATTAATTCTATAAAATAAATTGTCTACAATATTAAAAACACGAAATAAATAACAAATTGAAATTTTAAGCTTTCGGTTATTTAAACAATATAGAAATTCTAAAAATAGTTCTGAAATTAAAGTTAGTCTGTTATAAAAACAAACAAACAAACAAACAAACACATATAATATGACTAAATATTTCATATTTTCCCTATAAAAAGCTTTTTCTAATTTAGCTGACAATGAAATCAACATACACGGATCTAATTTGGCATGTAATACATAAAAACTAAATAGACATAAACAAATTGTGCTTATTTATTGTTTATGTGTAATTTTATATGTACTATATTTAGTGATACTGTCATGACTATTCTGGGAAAATATTGTTTTATGCCTCTAATGCCCAAAGCCAAGAGTTATTTGAAATAGCTCATTTCTTTTTACTAAAGTATTTGTCACATAACGTGTGTTTAAATAGAAAAATTTAGTCTCAGGATGAATGTTTTTAGATGAAGTTATCATTCGTAAAAGATCCATTGAACATACTGTACATCAGGATAGGTAAACTGAGGATGATATTTGTTGGTAATTTAAGTAAATTTATCATATCAGTAGTGAGATAGCTTCATATGGAGTGATTATCTGTAATTGATTTGTAGATAATCTGAAGATTGCATGGTGTTACATGGTTTGTATTGTAGCAAATGAGCTTTTTGATTCCGTATGCAACATAATAACCTACCTGAAAGGAGAATATTTGACAGAAAGTACAAGTTAATAAATGCATGACGCATCGTAGTTTTATTACGTTCGTTAGTCTTGTTTGTGTGCCAACATTTTATTTCCAGTGATTACATGGTACCTCTTTTAGTTACGTTCTAAACTTTTAATATAGAATGGGGAAGATTCTTTTCCATCTAATGGTTGTCCCGTTTACAGAGGATACCGGTTTTATCTGCAAATACGTAAATGATGACGAGATCAATATCGGACTATCAGAATCTTATTAAAATGGAATTGCTATGACGATGTGAAATTTGCACTCAACGATGTATTTAAAAACAAAAGTATAGAAAAGCACTGGATCCCGCTCTTGGTTTCTTTCTTGCACATTGTTTCATGTCCGGTCTAAAAAAAAATGAATTTAAAACGTCTATTGACAACTTTCACCTAGATAAAAGGTATATGGATGACGTCTTTACCATTTGTGGCAATAAATATGAATTGAGTCATCTTCTACAGATATTAAACAACTGCCACCATATAATAAATTTCACATTCTAATACAAATGAAGTATTCGCTTTCTTGACATCGAAATGACGACAAGACAGAAAGTTAAGAAGATCTATCTGCGGAAAACCCTTGTGGAATGGCCAACTATTATGATTTTACAGCTGAGCCCCTATTTGTCAAAAGCGAAATTTAGTTATATCCCATACTACACGGATAAGAATAATTTGTAGTTCCGAGGTCACAGACGACGAACTGAACTTACTAAAGAAATTACTTATTAAAAATGGATATCCGTTAATATTTATTGGCAAGAATATAAAATTCAAACTGCTTTAAAGCACAGTTAACGTCTGTATAAAAGAAAGATATAACTACAGATATCCTAAAGAGGAGAATTTCCGACTCTCCCAATAGAGTGCTCTTCGCAGCGACCTTCCCAATACTGTTCTCTAGCTTATCAGTGTTCATCAACAATCTTAAGGATAAATTGTCTCGTTTGTCTAACTCTGCGCGTATATCAATTTACTTGTTCATATGGAGCTGGGTATACGAGTCGTTTGTTAGGTAATTTTCCTAAAAGAATTCGATATAGTTACCCGGCTAAGCTAAAAAGAGGCGGAAATGGCTCAATAATTGAACAAAGATCATTCGATCAAAACGGGATCTATAATTAAAGTCATCTACAAGGTAAGTAGAAGGCTGACAAAGGCATCATCTTTCATCTTCTTTACAATGCTGAAGTCCTTGCTTAAAATTTAAAAATGCTTGAATTATTTGCACGAAATAATCTTGCACAACTTTTTTCTTCTACCATAGTATTAAACTCTTGTAATTATCTCCTTTTTTCATACGATTCTTCTTTCACAGCAATCTCTTTCGCTTCTCTCTTCTTTTTTATAGATTTTATACTCGCAATTAATTTGTTCCTGTTTATATGATTCTCCTGATTACAGTTCAACTTAGTTTCAACATTTTATCTTATCACACAAAGTCTTATCTTTATAATTTTTAAGTTTTCCCAATAAAAGTACCATTTTTTTACCACTATTTATTTTGCCTTACGGTTGCCATGTTTGGCAAAAAAATTTATTAACACTATTATCATAATTATTATTGTCATTTTAAAAAATAAGAATGAATATTTGCGATTGCACAGTTCTAGAAATGAACTCACAGAAAAAAGAATTAACAAAACCAGCCGTTGGTTTAACTGTCATATTCATTTCAAATTTTCCAATAGTTAAAATACGGTCATATGGTCAGGAACTGTCAAAAAAAATTCTGTTTAAGTAACGGTGTCAGTTTCGATTTATTGTGTTTGTTTTAGTTAACATAATTAAAGTAAACATATTAACTGATTTACATAGTTTTTGAATATCTCTCTAAAATGACTAAATTTAATTCTAATTACCGAACACCAAGTATACGATTTTGTACAGAAGATAAACTGTATAAATTACACCCACTCAGTTATATATATATAGTTCATTCTAGTTAGCATTCGTGAGATAAATCAACGATTAGCAACTGATATTCAAGTAGTGATTTCGAATGTTTGGTTTGACGTAGCTGGATAAGATTCTCTGAAAATTTATGTAATGAAGACAAAGCGAAAATTCAAAACAGATTAATGAATATTTGTCTTAATTCTTCATAATCAATTAACAGTAAACTATTACGTCAATCAGCATTGCGAGTCACTGACATGATAGATATCTCTGAGCTTCGTATCTTTCTAATAACGAATGCTAGCTGTTATGGAAATTTACTTGTGAGGTAAAATAATTGCCGTATTATGTTCATTCCTTCGAATAAACTTACACAGATTATAAATATTTTTCATTTCATTGTTATTGAAAGAATAAACTGACCTCCTATGAATCAAAATAACTTACAAGTGTAGTTTAAATGTATTTACTCAAGAGTACTTAGAATAGGACAAAGAATTTTGTGTTGACACTTGAAGAAACTCAACAACTGATAGAAAAACTGCATGCATTTATTTATTCTTGTTGTTCTGTGTATTCTCCTAAATACTTCAGAAATGCATTTATTTTTGTCGGCATTATAATTAATTTATAAGTTTAAATTCATGTATAATTTGTCTAAAAAAGAAAGTTATAAGTAGTTTTATGTAAAGTACTTTTACGACAATTTTGCTTTCATTTCTTCTATCAAGTCTATTGACAAATCAATACAACAGAAATGTTCTTACCAGTCAATCTATTCGGAATATAAGTATTGTATCTTGATAAAACAAATAAAATAACACTGCATTGTTTACTACATAATACGTATATGAATCAATTTTCTAAAGGACATATGAGTTGCTCATTTTCACATGTTTGTTTAAATGAATCAGATAATTTGTCAACTAAAAAGTATACATTGAAGCTATTTATATACCTGATACTTGTGATCTAGCATCCATAACAATAGACAAGATGTAATATCTACACAGTTTGTTGTACATTATTTTGAATACAAGTAATAGAAACCATCATATGTCTATAATGAATGGTTTTGTTACTCTAGTGGCAAAGAAACGTAACATTTGCTTTTCTTAAAATAATACTCATTTGAACTTGAATCTGCTGCCAAACTAATAATCTATAGTACAACGGAAGTTTGATGTCTCATATTACAAGGATTCAACAGTTAGATGAACTCACTAGACTTATCAAAAATTATTCGAATAACACGTATTTCTTTGGTTAGATCTAGGTAATAGATTAGTAGCTTTAGTGAGTACCTGATCATTTTAACTAAAACATTATGTGAAATATTTTGTGTATTGAACATAAGAAGAACAGGATACATAGAGCTAATATCGCGTTTTAATTATAATGTATGAAATGTAGATTATTTATAACAATCCTTTCAACTAGTTACCTACTTCAACTGAAATAGTAGTATTTTGGTGAACAGTTGTATACTC